TCTCTCCGTGTAAAACTTACTTGCAAGACGTAGACATGACCTATGTATTATCGAGTCACATTATATCTACGTTGCTTCCTTATAAATATTTATTTCATAATGCGATATTTTGTTCTATATGTACACAGATAAACTATGTCAGCTACTACCATGCAGGAACGTTCTATTGCGCGGTACTGGTATATTGTCAGTTTACATGTAACCTAAAATTCCAAAAAGATGTTTATTATAGGCATTGAACTGTTACTATTGACTGTATCTTGTAACTGTCAATATAGGACAATCATAGGAGAAGACTCATAATATTTAATGGAAGAGCACTATAGTATCACATAAGCACACCGGAAAGTTAATCAGCTAGTGTCTGATTAGGATCCTCGAACCATACGTCGGCAACACCTTGTCTGAAGCTGGAAAATTATTGTTGCAAAAACTTTGTGTTGAATTTTTCCCGTGAGTATGTTATAAAATACAACCGCATGCATGTTACACAATGCTCGCCCCGCGGTGCTGGTAGTCGAATATGTGTTGTTACAGTGCACGAGGTCTAACACGTGGTCAAATACCAACATTTCAGGTCAGTATTTGTTTACTATATCCTGGATGGGCTGTATATTGTACTTCAGGTCAGTGCCCGAGTTCTGCAGTCCCTTTCTATGATATACTTCATAAACAGCATTTAACTGAACATGTCTAGGTATAATCCAGGTACGGTGTTACATTGACTGTCTCTAGAGGAATAGAAATATTCACCTATCAGGTTCTGAGGTTTCAGTACAACCATTTGAATGCAGAGGCCATTTTTTGTAATCTCTATACTTTAACTGAAATTTTCAACAATAAACACTTCGACCTCTCACTGCCAACCTGAATACCTTGACAGCACGTAATCAACTGGCAAAACATTTTACCGCTCCTGTACGTATCAAAAACAGCATGCCTGAGACATTCTGGTGACTGTCTATACAAATTTGCTCGCTATGTTAATACCAGAAGAAAAAATCCACATTTTTGTCAAAGGCTATATCGACAAAGTACGTATAGGTAAGGTGACGAGAGTGTGAGCTGTACAAACACGGTATTAGTGTCGGTGTTGTCGTGGACGTCAGTCTCTGACCCATAAACGTCGCTAATGTTTTATGAACCGTCGTTAACATATTTTCTTATTACAATCATTATACTCAGTACAGAGGAAGTATTTTGGACATGTCAGTTACTCTTGACTAACGAGATTTACAGATGTGTTAACTCAACAACAAACGAAAGTGAGCCTATATAAGTGGAAAGCACAAGGGAATTGATAACAGGAGGGGACATTTGACGAGATCAGTAAATGATATTGAAAGCATTCCAGGAGTTCATGACCACAAAGTGCTTACCTATGGAATATAGCTCGTACACCAGTGAATTAATTTTCAACAACTTATCAATATGCCAGCAAGATTATATTCACGGAAGCTTAAGTTTGAAATGAAGTCGTGGTGTTGTACAATATATATATCTATATATATGTGTGTGGTTTAGCATGTTTGTACAATATATATATAGTTACATACAATTTGCCGATTTTCACTTTCCATGAAATACTCCGATTCACACGTACATTCATCAATTGCACTGCTGTATATAAACATTGACCAGAATAATAAACTTGCGTTAACCTGCTGTGGTATGACCCTGAACAAATCTCTTCGTTGAAACTGATTATTATCGATGCACTAGTCCGTATTTTCACTCTTTGATCCTGAAAACACCAGATTTGTTCGCTTATGTTCCATTCATTCTACTGAAGATGAAATAAACTGAACGTGCACTTCATAAACCGATATTTTCTTTATTAACTAATTTACAGTCACACGCTTGATCACCCTCATACCACTTAGGTAGTGTGTGGATTGTGTTCTTATTGCAAGTTCTAGATAGAACCACTATTTAAATCTTTAAATTGCAAAATTGATTTGAGGGAAAATTGCTATGTTTGTGAAATTGGATGTGACATAAAACAAGTACTTTCACAATCTAAAATTTGATCTAAACTACAGGGTTTTTATCTGCATTATGTATGCTAGTCAGTGAAGATGTTTTTAGTTGACGCAAAATTATCCGATTAATCAACAGTTTACAAACATATTCATTTGATCTGTTTACTCCTCATCCACGTGGTCACATAAATGTGCCTAGAGATTGATTGTAGAGTGTATTCAGAATGTAGACATTAAAAATCGCTCTCATATAAGGTCACATCACTTACAAGGATTTACCGAGGTTTACATGACGGACGTTGTCGATGAAGCAGGAGACTAACCATTTGGAACACCTCGCAGTATCTTCCATGTACATTCGAGGGGTCTCCGAGCGAATCTTTTGTTCATATGTAACCTCTATTTTTCTGCTAATTTGAACAAAAGATTTGTTAATATGATAGTATGTCAGTAAGATTTTTTTGTTTTTGTTTTTGTTTTATCAGCTGGTGGTATAAACACAGATTATACTGGTATTCGCTTAGATGATTTTGAACATAAAAAGTCGAAAACAAAGTCGAACTTTTAAAATAAAAATGCAGGTTGGTTGTTATCCATATAAACATGAAAACATTTAATAGAATCACCTCTCATCAGAAACATTCACAGTAAACAGACAAGTTTGGTGAAGCCTATCTATGACAACAGAATAAAAATAAATGTGGAATACGATAAAGAGTTTGAACCATTGAGACGAAATATGTTTTTATAGACTGGCCATTATACCGTTTCTGTGTGAGCAGCTTTCTGTTCTACTTAGGCTACATTCATTGTTTGAGTTGTATATGTAGTGTTTGGGTCACATAGTCTCAACCGGTATGGAATCATACTCTAACTTTCACTTACACACTCAGATAGATATCGCTTTTTTTGGAACTACATCAGAAAACATTGAAATTGATCAGGGCACAGAGTGTTCACACATTGAACATTCCTAGTAGGAAAATTGTAAAAAGTAGGAAAATTGCTACCACCCCTAGAAATGTTTTAAGTGCGAAAGCATAACAAACTTCACAGTATCACGGAAAGTTTTAATGTGAAAACGCACACAACCATCAACATCGCAAGCAATTTGATGTAGGGACATGTTTACAAGATTTATGGTTACTTTACGAAAATGTACAATGGAATTAAACCGTGTTTTATAGCAGAATACTGTAAATAACACGCTAAGAAACTACAGAATGAATAAATACACGACAAAAATAAAAAATAACGAATATTTTTTTGTTAAATACATGGATGTTATCGAAAGTCGCCATATGTCCTTTATCTGACCGACGGCATGATACATGTAAGACAGAAATGATATATCTAAGACAGAAACGATACATGTAAGACAGAAACGATACATGTAAGACAGAAACGACACATGTAAGACAGAAACGATACATGTAAGACAGAAACGACACATGTAAGACAGAAACGATACATGTAAGACAGAAACGATACATGTAAGACAGAAATGACATATGTAAGACAGAAACGATACATGTAAGACAGAAATGACATATGTAAGACAGAAACGATACATGTAAGACAGAAACGATACGTGTAAGACAGAAATGATATATGTAAGACAGAAACGATACATGTAAGACAGAATCGATACGTGTAAGACAGAAATGATATATGTAAGACAGAAACGATACATGTAAGACAGAAACGACATATGTAAGACAGAAATGATACATGTAAGACAGAAAACATACATGTAAGACAGAAACGATACATGTAAGACAGAAAGGATACATGTAAACGATACATGTAAGACAGAAATGACATATGTAAGACAGAAACGATTCGTGTAACAACGAAATCATACATGTAACACAGAAAAATAGTTACTTGTTTTAATTTTAACAGCATGCACCTTGGATACTTCATTAAAGCATAGATATTGTTGGACAACGATAACATGGCTCTTTTTTCTACTAGAAACACAATATGATAAACAAAGTGAATATAGCAAAATGTTTAGTGTCAGGAATGAAGTAAATTGGAAAAGATCGACATTCAGGAAGATAAGAACCCACCTGGGAAGTATTCCAGTTATGCATATTCAAAGTAACCGATATCAGTGTCAAGTACAATGATAGGTGAGAGTTCAGGTGTGTTCGTAAATTGTTGAGGAGTTCAGGGATAGAACATGGCTGTGATTTTATTCACCTTTCATTAAGTGGCTACGGTGCAAGTTTTTGTTATTTCTCCTCGTTTCATCAATCTTGATTTTAATTGACGACAGTGGACATGTCGGTGTTCTCTTTACCAACATGTCAATAGAATCATAATCCAAACTCAAATTCAAGAAAACTAGGGTAAAATATTAATAAACGAAAGATCTACAAGGAGATTACAGTGACCTACCCATGTCATAATGACAGTGAAAAAATGTCTACCAGATGGAAAAGTCAAGATTATGGTAGCTGCGAACAAAACAAGTGTTAACTTAAAGAATAAAAACACAACATTGCAACAGAAATTAAAGAAGATACTGTTATGAGTTATGCATGTACAGGTACTTAATACTTATAGTTTTCGCGGAGAGAGTATAAATCAAAAATAAATAAATGATGGTGATATATTGATAATTCATGAAGGTCAAACATCCCAAGAGTTAGAAAACCGACTGATGTGATTTCTCCCTGAAAATCAGTGTTTATCGTTCTTCAATTTGAGGTATGTATTGTTTTACAAAACATATTATATTATTGCTCAGAGGCGTTTTACCTTTGTTTTGGTTTACAAAGATTGATAAATATTTGTAATTTGCTGTTTTATATTGTTACTTAGTACATAGGTATATCGATCAGACATTATGCTGACGTTGATATTGAGCAGGTCATAATTACTTATCAGTGGGTTCAATTGACCTCTACTCGAAAATGACAACAAAGGGTATAATTGTTACTACAATCTAAGCCACGTGAATAGTCTACATGTTCCCTTAAATATGCATGATGTCCACAGCTTTCAAACTCACATAACACTTTCTACCGTGATGTTTATGTTATTTGGATTACGACCAAGTCGAAATGAGGACTGTTTGCGAAATTTGATGTACATGGCTTTTAAGTGTCTCTTAAAGTTACCATTCATAAATCCATAGACAATAGGGTTCAGCAGGGAATTGGAGTAACCAATTAGATGAACGATTGCCAAGGTCTCCCGAAATTCCCTGTTCATATCATGATACAGATGGCACACTTGTGCCGCAAAAAACGGAAGCCAGCAAACTCCGAATATGATTACCAAAGCTATGAGCATTTTAACAATACGTTTTTTCTGGGAATTGCTCCTCGCAAGGTACTGTGGCCTCGCACTTGTGTCACCTATTGGCTTCTGTATCCACAGACGGAAAGCTATCATACCATAAGCACACATCATGATAATCATGGGTATTACGTAATTCAAAAACAGAATTACATAGGTGTGCACTACGTCATAGATAGGTTTCTTGTACTTCTCGGCACACACGACCACATTCTTTATCTGCGGGATTTTCTTCAGTTGCATAAGAATTCTCAGTTCTGTCCTCTGTATCCACCAGCATGGCAGGGATATTAGAAGGGTGATTATCCATATGAAAACCAATAGAACGCCGGCCCGTGTAGCAGTTCGAACGTGACGAGACTTCAAAGGGTAACTTATCGCATAATAGCTGAAATGAAAGAGAGAAAAAAAATCTCACTACAAGAATCTATTTGATTCGATTGTATTCTAGTTTCTTTTCGTCATTTATTACTAGAGTTTGTGACACACTGATGGCGTCGATGGTGGCCGGCATTAGATGTAATTCATTTTCGATTTGTACCCCCTCCCTTTTAAAAAAAATAGCTCATTAGCATCACTGATGAGTCCTATATGGACAAAACAAGAATTCATTATCTGGCTAAATGGTTTCTTTTCAAAATGTGTGTTGTAGGGTGCTATTTACTTGTGCATCTTTCGCACGTTCTTGATATTATTAGAAACTTCACGTCAGCATGCACAGAGCTATTGGATTTACTGCGCCAATGTCAATAAAACGAATACACAAAATCACAGTTAATTTGATGATGGAAGTCTGTTTAAACAGCTATCGAATACAACACGATTTCATGCTCGCACAACTTGATATGCTTTATAATTTTTTTGTATGTGGCTTTCATTAGAAACCTATTTTGCTTCGGTTGTCCGATTTTGGAAAATGTCATATGAATTATATTGCCGAGGTTATGACCACATCCCTCCCGTACTCTCCCAATGATTTCATTTAAAAGATGTCATGAACTGACAGTTAAAAACGTCAACAGAATCTTAATTCAACCCCAAATTCTGGTGAAATTGGGGCAAACTATGAACAAAAGTAAGATTTCATGGATACTCCTGCAAAGCACAGGGTGAGGAAGATCAAGACATCCGGAAAGGTAAGCATCTTGATCTTTTATGATACCTACTATGTTAATCTTAGTCACCCGAAGTAAAAAAAAAATGAGAACAATTTAATCAATAGAGGAATCGTGAGACTTCAACGAACTTCAAACACGTCCAACTCCATAACGTGTAAGGAAATATATTTCCTAATGATATCATTATAACGACCATAACGATTCCAATATCTTACAACAGAAGGAAGCTGTCTGTTATATTTTAGAGTGTATTAGAGATATTTTACTTTTCTTTGATCACACGAAGATTACAGATTATTACCATAAAGTCATTGTTTTGAAAATTCTACCTCTGAATGGAGAGAATAAAGGTATGTACATATCCTTTGTATTAGAAACTATATAACCGTCATCTGTAAAATTGATATAGATTTAAGATCACTATTCAAACCAGATCAGCAAACCACCATCTTAGCCGGTCATTGAAAATTTAGAAAGTCAGTTTTAACAAATGAGTCTTTTTTAAAAAGAGGAATATGGAATGGTGTTTCCGAAGAAACGTTTTTCACATGAAGCTCACTTGGAATATTTAAAGATTTTTCGGACGTCTATCATTTTAACACACTGTGACTGAATGTCAAAAAAAAAAAAAAAAAAAAACTTTAAAAATTTTATTTAAACTTAAGTTTGAATGCTTTCAAAAAAATATCAAGTACATGTACAGCCTGAAGGTGCCCCTTTCCCATAACCTCATGTTTATAAATCCACCAGGTGTGTCTACTACCTGCAATATCGAGGATTGTACATGTACAGAAAAACCGCTAATGAATAGCATCTTTGTAATTATAAAACATGAGCTGTAGAAGTTATTAAACTATTCTTTGTGAAAATAATCCTAATTTGGTACTGATCCGATTTTAAGTCTCCCTGTTTCAATTCCATAAAAATACATTAAAAAACAGAACCACCTTGCCTCTACACATGAAACCATATAGCTGAACAATTCAACATTTCAACCCGAGGTGTGAATGATGTAGGGTGTATGATTACACACAAAAGTGCATGCGTTCAGATAAAACAGAAGTGAAAAGTACTCATATACATATGGCTTTATACTTTGTTGTGAGACTTGTATGTGGATATATCGATTAAGATTAAACGTGTATCAAGATTAGGACTTCAATAAAACATATATTACATGAATTTCTTACGTGTGTGTTTTCTTATCTCAAGGGAATATATTGGTGTTAAAATGCTGATTATTTTATCATAGGTTCTGTTAATACTACTAATACTAATAGCACTTTAGAAACGGGACCATACTTTGGTAAAATGAGTGTGTTGCCGACGTTATTGTTAGATATTCTATGTTGTAATTATGCTCATTTTAAATTCAAATGGAGCAATGCAATCTGAGGGTAATTTCACATTCCTGTCATGGTGAAACTAATGTTTCTTTAAGTGCAATTAAAGCTGTCATGCTTTAATGTATATATTATCATAGAAGAGAGTTATTCTAGTGACACCTGTCTAGGACATTAATGACAAAATGCTAAACTTTGTTTATGTCAGAACAACGCTGATGAAACTTCCATTAATTAATAAAAATAACTTTTGTTTACCTTGTTGTATAGCATAACCTTGACCTTTTCATGTACTGTCTAATGTATTCTAGGTGTAAATGTGTGTTGAAGAAAAAAGAAGGTAAAAGAATAGGATTATGATATACAACATGTTTCTATTGTCAGATATACCGGGTTATGATGAGTGGAATTCCATCATTGGCTTTGGATACGTTCCAGACATAATGTTTTATCCTAACCATAGAACAGAGAGCACCACTGTTTAATCCTGTAGAGAGCTAAATCAACATCATTAGGAATAACATATACAATACAGATATATCTTACCAGGTGGTACAACCTCATGCTATTGTAACTAAAGGTTTAAGTGTAAATAATTATGATATTGATATAAAGTATTACTTCTGGAATGTATTTAATTCCCGAAAGATAAGAATTATTTCTATAAGAATGTATTTCTGAATTTAATAAAGTGTTGATATTTGCATTGTTAAAACCCTCGTGAACTACATGTGTTTAAAATGACAGCTTACATAGGGAAATCAATTTACATCAACACAAGAGTACACAAGTATTAACATACCAAGAAATATTATACCGTAGCAACAGACATAAAAAGATAGCTCCATTATAAAAAACAACAGGACGAAATTTACATTAATACAACGACTCCTTGTAATAATCGAAAGGATAAGATTTCATATAATACGACATACATGTCTGATACGTAACACTACGTGATATATTAAACAAAGAAGAGTAGACACACAGCAGTTAGAACAGGTTTATAGACGATGTAATACTTACAGAAAGCATTACCACATAATTCACAACAAAGTGGCAACATTGTGTGACCGTGTATGCAGTTTATGTGGCGATGTGTATGGTTTTGTGGCTAGCTTATTATTTGTGTGGACAGTATGAAGTGTGTATGTCCGGACATACCGTCATTTTGACCGGGTATAAAGTTTGTTAGATCTTAACTGTTGCCGAGTTGTATACCTAAGACATTGCGGCGGTAAGGAACACCATGACTGATACAGTAGCAAAATAATTGTTTAATAACGGAACATCGGAACAAAACTGTTAAAATGGAATCTTCATGTGTATTCGGTTTCCGATGCAAGATGTCTGTTATTTATACATTAGATTATAGTGTCATCATTCATTTGATAAGACTTTAGTGTTTGGGGGAATCCACGATGATTTTCAGAGCCTCTTTTTATGGTGGTTTGATTTGATTTTATTTTTTTTATGCGAAACTTCATTTTCATATTTCCAAATATGTAGTTGAAGTTGATATGTTCAAAAGTGAATAGAAAAGAGGCAAATTACACCAAATTTGATACATAAATGATATCATAGTCATTACAAACCAGCCAACAGATGACATGCAGAAGCAACGACTACTGTAAAACAGTTATAGCGATGGAAAATTGATACGTTGATGTATTGATGTACACGAATTTACCAGCATAATGCCCCACACACATACACGCACACATATACACACACCCACACACACCCATCCACACACACACACACACACACACACACACACACACACACACACACACACATCCACACATCCACACACACACACACACACACACACATCCACACATCCACACACACATCAACACATCCACACCCACACACACCCATCCACACCCACACACACACACACCCTCACACACACACATCCATACATCCACACACACACACACACACACACACACATGAATATTGATATGATTCGTTCGGGAATATGACTTTTAGCAATGCATTTCATAACAAGTAAAAGGTGCTTGCGTTCTCGTAAATACATTACAAAGATTGACCCAGCAACCCTCAAAATTCTATACCGGCCACGCCGGTGGCCCATCATGTAATTTGATGCAAATTGGAGTGTTTACGTGCGAAAGTACAGCTACATTGAAATTTGATTTTATCTAGATAAGTACGATATCATGCTGTAGTTGTGTCTTTAAAAAGATAATGACAAAGTGACGTGGTGGACATCGCTACCAGGAAATCTTTAGTCAACATAGAGATTCCAGAACCGCCATTTCACTAATTACATCGCAGGTTAATCTAGCACATTAAAAGGCATTGTATACATGGGAAAAGCCAATGCACATTCCTTCTTTTGAAAAATGGAATTTTGAAAAATATACATTTTTTAGAAAGCTTAAACACATTACGATAATGCATTTGTCAATTTACGTTATGAAGAAAGAGACAAATTTTGTAACTTGTCCCTGTCAATTTATACCAAATCTGTCTTCTACACTTACCGTTCTATCGCCACAGCGGTCAGAGTAAAGATACTAGCTTGAACATTGACTGTCTGGAGGTAGGCGGACAATTTGCACATGACCTCGCCTAGTGTCCAGTCGTCATGGATGTAGTATCCTAGCTGTATAGGCATATTCCAGCCGGCTATCAGTGTGTCACTGATAGTTAACGACACCAGAAACACATTTGTGATCGTCCTCATTGACTTGTTGGCAAGGATGACGATAATAACCAGAAGATTACCGATGATAGCCCCGGTCATAATGACACTATAGATGATGATGAGGAAAGTCTTGAGTTCATCCGGCAACGATTCCGGTACAAGAAAGAGTGGGTTTCCCCCAGAACTGGAATTAAACTGGTTTTCATACCAATCCCGGAACGAGCCATTCATATCCGACAAGCTGCCTTGCATTGTAAAATTGTCCATAGTTAAGTATAACAGTAAGAAGAATATTGAATTCAGTTTCAAAGCAGCATTGAAACAGGATGTTCTTCAGATGAAATGATGTGTGCTGGATCGCATCTATACAGGTGTTGTGATATAGTTTACAGCAAGACTTACCAGATGTCAAACATAAATCGATGTGTTTATATATGAAATATTCGACCTCTTTGGTTAATGTAGCCGGCGTTAAATATCCAAAAACCATAAAAGAGACTCACTACGCGTGTTTAAAAGAAAAGAAAACGTACCGGACCAAGCAGATAAAAAGTTATGCTCCATGCGATTTCAATCTCATCACATGTATTGTTTATAGTTGCCTTCCGGTTTAAACAGAACAAGCCTAGGTGATGGTGTGGAGACTAAACACCCGCTCTGTAAGGCGCACTGTTACAAGTGCTGGTCACAAGGTGCGTATCTAAGAGGAATATACCAGTTAACGGCACCTGTTGCTGCCGAATAATATTGGAAGATCTAGCTTTCATTGTTTATGGAATCTATTAAGACAAATTATAATCCCAGATTAAATATTATCAGTATACACGTATTCGAGTAGAAAAGTTAATGAAATCATCCTTATCTGTTCTGCTGATGGATTCTTACGATGATAGACGATATATTCGTGTGTGTTAATTTCTTAAATGACATTAAACCGCACGTGTTTTATCACGCAGTCCATGATCCCTCTCAATATTATATGAGCCGTCATTTCCCATATCCGACACCATATCAAAGTCTAGGTCATAAAAACGGACAACAACGGATGTGGGTTACAGATACAATCATATTTAATGGGCAATTCATATACTATTTTGAATAAAAGCATATAATGAACATTCTTGAAAATAAAAAGATTTGCTTAACATGTTTTAACATCTATTAAGATTTTCATTGCATGATTCATTATTGAAACAGAACGCCATTTCATGTTTTATAAAATGCATGTTGCTACTATAATTTCTTAAGGAATGATAAATGATTCTGTGTTCAACAGTCGCTGGATGCAGCATTGGATATTTCCAATGAATGTTCCATCGCCTAGTATCTATGACTCTCTGTTCCTCCGTGACCATAACCTGCATATAATTAAATTCAAAAAGGCATATGTAAATTATCATAAAGGTCTTAATTGAAAGATATCTAAAATGAAAATTATCGATGCAGACTTTAAATTTGAAATATTTGCTATTATCTGATTGTTGAGCATTTATATCATAACAAAAAATCGATTTCGTCTTATTTGTACGAACTTCTGAAAGGTCTGTTTGAAAGTAGTTTCAGATCAGACAATTATACTTAATATAAGTATGTACAGCATAAGTACGTACCTCCAGGTCCAAATTGACTGGCGTAGCAAGGTTTATGACAATATGGCTTCCCTTCATGCTGAATAAGAAAATATCGGATTTAGTAAACAATCATAACATAACAAATGTTAATATGACTGGTTTCAACAATTTATCACATAATTATTTAATTAGAGCTGTGTGCTCTGAAATAATTCTAAGCTATTATAACCATAGATTTTCAATGTATGATGATTTCCACTGCTAACAAATTCACTAGCAACATGCCATGTTATACAATATGAATCACGTATTATACATCTGTTATATTCTTGATGTTATCATACTTATTGACCACCATCGGCATGACACCAGGACTAAGTTTAAGATGTGGACTTCTTACCTCTGCGTGACTCCCTGCCGATAGTGTCTTTCTGCATTTTTCACATTTCAGACACGGCCTATGCCAATCTTTCCCAAGTGACGTCACCTTCTCGGCTTAAAAAGAGAATGCATACATAACAGATTATAAAAGTTTTTTTTTTAAGATCAGTAAATTAAAACTATGGCATGGACTTCAAATGGGTAATTGTATGTAATGCACTGCATGACAACGAACCATACAATATCTCCATTAGTGTTAGTGACATCCCACGTCTCACCTCCAACCCTTCGAATAAACGTTACATATATGTTGTCTAGCGGTGTTTATTTATTTATGTTTGCAACAAGTATATGTTTTCTAGCACGTCCGTTAAAATTGTTTCGTTTTGTTTTCATATAATGACTATATAAATATCAAAACCGACATAGATAACTTTCCGCCTAGCTGTATGATAAGCGTGCTGATTTAAATTCCAATATTGTGAGTATAATATTTCTGGATAGCAATAATCCTGCATCCTTAAATTTTAACGACTTTCGTGAAAGAAATCCATTGACAGACAAACTTGTAACATAGTGTTTCAAAGGATACAGGTTTATGAACATTGTATTACAGTCGTCATAGTGTTCTCATTTAGAAATATACTGTTTTTGTGCGTTATTAAGCTGGAGGTATTTTATGTTCGTTCGTTTGCCTGTTGTTCCGTTGTCGTATACCTTGTTCGCATTTGAGAATTGACATTACTTATTTGGATTAACCCAGATTTACAGCGAATGTTGTCTATGAAGCGGAAGACTTCACATCATCCTGGTCCTATTCTCCTTGTACTTGCTCAGGAGTCTCCGTGTTAATCTTTCTTTTGTTCATAACTTTACCCTAGTTTAGCTGAATTGGAGTTTGAATTATGATTATGTTTACATTCTCCTTCTTGTTTCTTATCGTATCTTAGAGGGGAGATATCGAAACATTAAAAAAAGAATAACGGGACATTAATTTATACACTAATACATTTTAAAGGTTTTATCTACCGAATGCTGAGAATAGAATATAACCTGATTAAATTATGCAATTGTTTTCAAAGTCCAATGAACACTGCTTCCTTCACATCATCTAAGGTAATATCCCTGAACCTGAACGAGAAGCAAAAGTGCAGTTGATGTTGTAATAGTATATTTATCTCTTACAACATTCTTCTGTGATAAAGTGATAAAGCAAAACGTAGTTATTCAGGTCCTAAATGACGAATATGTAGTGTTTTTATATAGTAACAAAACTCATTTATAAAAAAGATACCAAAGTACGTATATCTGTCGGTAATATCATATAGTCAAGGCAGATATTAAGAGATATACCAAGGTTCACCGCACACCTAGGCCTGTTCCACGGCTGTGTTGTCGTGTTGTTGCACTAACTGGTGATGACTGTGATACAAACGCTCAGAGGAACACTTTACTCCGTTTTATTGTGCAATTGTTCCACCATGCAAGCTGTAAGTAACCTTTCCCACTTATTTACACCAGTTGGAATAATGTAGCTTATTGTAAGAAATATGATGACAACAACTGTTAATATTTTAGGAGACTGAATTTTACGCAACTGTCTTTAGAATTGGTAAAAATTGAAAGATAAGCATTTCTTAGAGATGAGACATCGGTTTGATTAAGCGTCTAAACAAACCAACACCCACACCTTCTGATAAGACTGTACTTAGATATGATTTATAAGCCTGTATGTTTACACAGACCAGGGTTACTTCTTTATATGTCTCTTCAACACCGGCTAGACTTGAAGGATCTTAATACTACAGCCCGGTAAAGTCCTAATCTACTTCACATCGGCCGCGTTCCGGGTTAGGGGACATTTAAAATGAAAAATATAAATCCTATTTCTCTGTACGTGGAAGTGGTGTAGCGTGTAATGGTATTGATACCGCACCTGACATTCACATTAAGACACCTCTATAGTCAGAACTTAATCCCATGCTGTTGCTTAAGAGTTTACTCATTGAAGAACATATATATATATATATATATGTAAGGACAGCATTAAAATGAACTCTACATCAAATAAAACACAATTAATATGATAATTATTCAGGATGACTATAAAGTAGGAGCGAATCACGTTAAATGTTGTACATTTCTATATTACCTATCAAATGATCGTCTATACGTTAAAAGATATTGTATATATCGGTAAAGGATCAGAATATGTTAATAACATACTGAGCCCAACTCTTAGTATCTGCTGTCACAGAGGCATGGAAATAGAATCCAAATATACAGGGTAGTCACATGATGAATAAATATTCCAAATAACGTCCATTGAAATACAGATGTAGTTTGAAATATATAAAACAGACAGATGAAACATTCCTTCAGTAATGCTTAATTTTTCAACACCTGTATGTATTTTCTAAGAAAAATAAGTATGTCTTATTATTTGTGTTCCTGTTATCAGTCTAAATATGACGTATACATAATCCACCTGTAACTGTTTATATGGTGTCTAAGGGATACCTAGTTTCCATGGAGATACAGTATAAACAATAACAATGACAACCAACAGCTTTTCCTGACAACTCTAACAAAAGTAATTTCATTTGCCAGAGCGTAACAGAGTGAAGTTATGTGAACTTCGGTTATCGTTGTAGGAATATACAAGCATTAATTATAGCTACAAAGGTAATTAATCAATTGATGATAGAATGGAGGAAACGATCAGATACAATTATCTTTATAACCAAATGCAATTATGCACATAATTGTCTCTGAAGTTATTAGTTAAACCAGTCATTCAGCTTTTTTTTAGTTTGATTTTACACCGAGCAACCAGACTATGCTAATCGCGCTATATATTTCAGAGAAAACGCCCAAGGCATGCTGCATTGTTGTGTATATTCGTCAGGACCAAAACACATATGGTTTTGTTTGTATCAACACTCTAAATAATATTCAATGGAACAACCTCTGACTCAGAGATATTGACCTTCAGTGTATATCACAACAGACAGCCTTAATCAAAGTGTTTACATGTACGTTTTTAAGTGTCACTGCTGTTTACATACAAATGTTACCTTGTCATTCCATTGATACAGTTCTGTGCGTTTTCAGAATCTCATTTGGTAGGTGGACCAACCATCTGGGGTGCTTCTTTACATAACATTTACTCGCTCGTCTGACACAACGTATATTTCTGGATTAGGTGTTCATTGTGCACTGACTCTTCTCAACATTGGAGTTCTACAATCGCTACCAGCACAATGTGGAGCTACAGGTTTTTTTTCTAGTCATCTTTTGATTAAGGAGACCTGACACATTTAACACAGAACGTTCGATTCCATTCACACATCCCATCCCACGGAATAACTTTAAGATCACGTAGTGATGTCCCATGTCTGTTACTGAATTCGACGTCGAGCATAATTCACACTTTCACCATCTAATGGCATGGCCTATGTTGGGGCTTAACGTCAGCAGTTAGAGATGTTAAATTTGCAGTCAAGAAACAATAATTTATTTTAGAGTAGATCTGCTGATCGTCTTCAACGTCATCAATTACTGACACGATTAAATCACTTATCAAAAAGTATCAACAACAGACATAACTCAACAACTACAGACATAACTCAACAACTGCAGACATAACTCAACAACTACAGACACAACTCAACAACTACAGACATAACTCAACAACTACAGACATAACTCAACAACTACAGATATAACTCAACAACTACAGACATAACTCAACAACTACAGATACAACTCAACAACTACAGACATAACTCAACAACTACAGACATAATTCAACAACTACAGATACAACTCAACAACTACAGATATAACTCAACAACTACAGACATAACTCAACAACTACAGACATAACTCAACAACTACAGATACAACTCAACAACTACAGACATAACTCAACAACTACAGATATAACTCAACAACTGCAGATACAACTCAACAACTACAGATATAACTCAACAACTACAGACATAACTCAACAACTACAGATACAACTCAACAACTACAGACATAACTCAACAACTACAGATACAACTCAACAACTACAGACATAACTCAACAACTACAGATACAACTCAACAACTACAGATATAACTCAACAACTACAGATATAACAACTACAGACATAACTCAACAACTACAGACATAACTCAACAACTACAGATACAACTCAACAACTACAGACATAACTCAACAACTACAGATATAACTCAACAACTGCAGATACAACTCAACAACTACAGATATAACTCAACAACTACAGACATAACTCAACAACTACAGATACAACTCAACAACTACAGACATAACTCAACAACTACAGACATAACTCAACAACTACAGATACAACTCAACAACTACAGACATAACTCAACAACTACAGATACAACTCAACAACTACAGATATAACTCAACAACTACAGATATAACAACTACAGATATAACTCAACAACTACAGACATAACTCAACAACTACAGACATAACTCAACAACTACAGACATAACAACTACAGATATAACTCAACAACTACAGACATAACTCAACAACTACAGATACAACTCAACAACTACAGACATAACTCAACAACTACAGATACAACTCAACAACTACAGATATAACTCAACAACTACAGACATAACTCAACAACTACAGACATAACTCAACAACTACAGACATAACTCAACAACTACAGACATAACTCAACAACTACAGACATAACTCAACAACTACAGATACAACTCAACAACTACATACATAACTCAACAACTACAGACATAACAACTACAGATATAACTCAACAACTACAGACATAACTCAACAACTACAGATACAACTCAACAACTACAGACATAACTCAACAACTACAGACATAACTCAACAACTACAGATACAACTCAACAACTACAGACATAACTCAACAACTACAGATACAACTCAACAACTACAGATATAACTCAACAACTACAGACATAACTCAACAACTACAGACATAACTCAACAACTACAGATACAACTCAACAACTACAGACATAACTCAACAACTACAGATATAACTCAACAACTGCAGATACAACTCAACAACTACAGATATAACTCAACAACTACAGACATAACTCAACAACTACAGATACAACTCAACAACTACAGACATAACTCAACAACTACAGATACAACTCAACAACTACAGACATAACTCAACAACTACAGATACAACTCAACAACTACAGATATAACTCAACAACTACAGACATAACTCAACAACTACAGACATAACTCAACAACTACAGACATAACTCAACAACTACAGACATAACTCAACAACTACAGACATAACTCAACAACTACAGATACAACTCAACAACTACATACATAACTCAACAACTACAGACATAACAACTACAGATATAACTCAACAACTACAGACATAACTCAACAACTACAGATACAACTCAACAACTACAGACATAACTCAACAACTACAGACATAACTCAACAACTACAGATACAACTCAACAACTACAGACACAACTCAACAACTACAGATACAACTCAACAACTACAGATATAACTCAACAACTACAGACATAACTCAACAACTACAGACATAACTCAACAACTACAGATACAACTCAACAACTACAGATATAACTCAACAACTACAGACATAACTCAACAACTACAGATATAACTCAACAACTACAGACATAACAACTACAGACATAACAACTACAGATACAACTCAACAACTACAAATATAACTCAACAACTACAGACATAACAACTACATACATAACTCAACAACTACAGACATAACTCAACAACTACAGATACAACTCAACAACTACAGACATAACTCAACAACTACAGATACAACTCAACAACTACATACATAACTCAACAACTACAGACATAACAACTACAGATATAACTCAACAACTACAGACATAACTCAACAACTACAGATACAACTCAACAACTACAGACATAACTCAACAACTACAGACATAACTCAACAACTACAGATACAACTCAACAACTACAGACACAACTCAACAACTACAGATACAACTCAACAACTACAGATATAACTCAACAACTACAGACATAACTCAACAACTACAGACATAACTCAACAACTACAGATACAACTCAACAACTACAGATATAACTCAACAACTACAGACATAACTCAACAACTACAGATATAACTCAACAACTACAGACATAACAACTACAGACATAACAACTACAGATACAACTCAACAACTACAAATATAACTCAACAACTACAGACATAACAACTACATACATAACTCAACAACTACAGACATAACTCAACAACTACAGATATAACTCACTATACGTAGTATTATGCAGTTTTCTTGTTCGCCATCTCCTACTTCATCTGAATCCTAGACAAAAACAGCTTTTGGTTTTCTTTCGTCTATCGAAGTCTTGAAATGCTCATTAACACTACAAATGAGTACATGTATTCCCACAATGTATACTGAAATCACGCATTGCACACTTAAGTCACACTTGTCTGAGGTCGGATGTCTTCGAGACACCAGAACATGGAAGTGATCGTGTGGACAATATCCATTTAAACAATCTGTCAAAACATACCGATTACTTATTCAAAATTTCTGACATCATTGATCCATTAGAGCACTAATAACAACGTTATGATACGTCAGTGAGCCGTGACACGCAAGATGTCAGTTAATGATAAGTTCCAACCAGAGCATGACTTTATGGTATCTTGTATATACCAAGCGTTAGCAAATAGTGGTATAAATGAAGGATGACGGATAAGACTAAACCACGGAATATTTCAAGTCCATTACTAAACTAAATAAGTTTTGATTCCAATATTGATATAACATTTACCAGGTTTTCTGCTGTATATTAAGGAAAATTGCACGTATAGATATATGTATGAACTTATCTTTTCAAATGATATACAGTGGACTGCTCATTTTTTTCGAAAAAAGTTTCGTATGCATTTTTTTATTTCCTAGACTGGAACTGTCCATTTGTCTTGAGAATATTTACATACACTGGCTATTTGCCAATATCCGTCTTTAGTGTTATTTGCTGATAAAATATTTACATAATAAATCAGACGACATAATCTTAGCCATGTAGTGAAAAGTTCAACGCCCATACATTCACTAGATATCGATTTGGCCGTGAGTTACAGCCATACATATATCTGTAATATAACGTCATATCTAGTGTTGAACGGACTTCATGTCCACAGTAATGGACGCGTACTTACCGAAGTAAACCTCCTTAGTACAGTTTGGACATTTAGGCATGGTGGCTGGAAATCGGTAATCAATTACCGGATACAAATTCGGATGGTGTGAGCTGTTACTACTGTTATCAACTCGTACCTGTTTGACGACCACACAACATACGTATGTGACAATATCAATTTTTGCACACGGCACTCAAAATTTCCCATCCTTTAAATAAAGGCGTTTCCCCACTATATTCTATCGTATAACAATTGCAAGACCTACTCGTGATGTAATTAGGTATGTATTTATAGGGAGCGAGCTGGACAAGAACCGTTTCACTCCAAATTAGATTAAATAAATAAAATGAGAGTATCCAGAGGGTGATTGAAGCGATCCGGAACCGACATTCCTTTGTTATCACATGACAACAGTGATTGAACTACGTTGTTGTCATTAGATAAGTACATTTTCCGTATACATGTATATATATATACCTGTACTGAGTCTCGATATCATCCTGTCCTATACCGCCGACGCACTTAACCCCTGATTCATCCAACGGGAAATAATGTACTTGACATATTACGTTACAAAGCCGTCCTTTTATTGTTATCTCACACTTGTTTTATGTTTTAATACACAAAACATTTCGTTAGAAATACATTAAAGAAGAATTTTACACAGATGACCTTGAGCCTACTATCTTTGACATTTTGAAGGAAAAGGCGTCTTTCTCCATATAACAGTAAAAAAATTCTGCTTATCATGTCATATTCACAAAAAATTACCAATGCAAGCGTACTGGTTTACCTTTTAATAAATTGATGTTTGTATGCCCAAACTTCATATACATGTATCATGAGTACTGTTCAAATGAATAAAGAACGTAAGCATTGATAGGTGAAACTGACCATTTCTTTGAATCAATGAGCTTGGGTATACAGACACTGCGTATTTCCTGATTACATATAATGTTGGAGATATCGTCTTCTTATTGGTACGGCTAAAACACGCATTTATATTTGTATACAAAACAAACATATATGACACCTGATCATACTTATTTGATTTATTCGGGTAATTTAATTCCGGTTGTAACAATAAATAGTTTTAACAAAGCTAAATACAGGTTAATGTATCGAGGTGAGGCCACTGTCTGTTGAGTGTACTTCATCTGTTAGCTACTACCACAGTTTTACACTACAATACTGTTGACAAACTGTATATGTTGGGACACTGTTTACAACCGCTATATTTTATGTACACTTTGAGCCTACTTCTAGGTCACCAGTACTTGTTACAGTCACACATTCCAATGACACAGATACTTTAGACTAAGATCAAAATTAAACTACATAAATTTGATATAAAAACATCCGAAGTGGGGATATTGCTTTCATTGAAAGGCGATAATGTATCCTCCAGTACTGATTTCCAGATAACGTATATCACAGAAACTTACCGCTGTCAGGTAAATACATTTCTAATATACATATGTATAAATTTTATCAGGAAGTTAAGATGCGTGCATTAGTAACCACAAAAACCAACTTTATGACTTGTATCATGTATACATTACTATTGTAACATTGATAATGTAACATTGTACAGAGTGTACATGTTATCTATTGATACATTGGATATACACGTTAACAACAAGTGTGATACCACTTAATACCGATTGAAGATTAAAGTCAACCTTATGAAGAAAATGTAATTTCGCCGTGATATAAATGGTAGTAGAAATCACACTATAATAGTAGTGATAAGCAGAGTTAGTCCTACTTCCGATGTAAGCTTTTCAACAAGGTAGTCTTCATTGGACATACTCGTTCCATTTCCAATTAACTCTGTTGAACACTTTTTAAGTCACAAGCCTGACAGACTATACTACTTATATCGATAGATAATGTTTAAAATTCAAACACAGGGCTGATGATAGGGTGATATCTGAAACTTTGTATCTAAAACTTGCTTTTTCTGATCATCTCAGTGCGCGTGTTGGTTGACCCCGCAGTGGTTTGAACCCTGATCTTTGTCACTCTGTTCTTACAAAAGAGTTGCAGCACCTCTCGCTGGAAATTCTTGTTTAGGAAAGTATATATAATAGGATTCACACAACAGTTGCTGTAACCTATGAGTTTAAGAACCGCCATCTTGATTCTAAATGTGGCATCTTTAGTTTCTGCGAATTCAGCATAAAGAGAAAAGGTGAAAAAGGGTAACCATAAAATGGTAAATGCTAGAAAAACTACAATCATTACTTTTATTATTTTTTCTTTCGGTAAAACGACTCTCTGATGATGCAATGGGTTTTCCAGAATATCTCCAATAGGTGGGTGTATCCAGAGACGATGTGCTATTCTACCATACGTGTAGGCCATTATAGCGACCGGAAGTATGTATAGAAACCCGTAAGTGAAGGCCGTGTACAGCTTACTTCCGTAGTCGTTGGGGTAGAATTCCACACATAAGTAACCAAAACCGTCCAGGATCAGAAAGGATTTAAACTTGCGTACTTTTACCCTTGTATCAAGACACTGGAACACCAAATGTGGAGAAAGTGCACAAAGGGAGATAACCCACACAACAGCCAAATAAATATAAGCTGCCTTCTTCGTGTGCAGTTTTCCTGCAATCTTGTGGCTACATATTACAATGTACCTGAAACAAGATGATACTTTGAATTAGAACATAGTGTTGTGTGTATTGTGAAAACTAAACATAACCACAGACTACAGAAAAATCGTATAATGTATATAAAAATGTCATTTTACTTACATTATACTGTTTAGAAGCAGATTTATTTTCCAACAATGCTCACCGTTTATTCATCCAAAGATTATAACTTTAAATATGGCTGCACTGATTACGAACATTCAAATTAATATGATTAGTCTTAGCAGTATGTGTACTCATTCAACACGCAATCAACACAGTTACGTAATTTATCTTGAGTTTTAAATTATATCCACGAGTGCATTTCTTTGATTGCTTTCAATATTGGAATCGAATTATTAAGTCATGATTAAAAAAAAATGACCAATCAAGGGCGTCTAAAGAGTAGCTACCCCATAAAGCAGCTTTAAGATAAAACTGAACTCAGTAGAATACAAATTATGGAAATGAAGAAACATTTGTCTCGAAAAAGAAAGTTGTATACAGTTTATGTGAGGTTTTTATGCAGCTTGATGAAACTTATGGGAACGTTTTACGGTTTTTATAGTGATATCACTGAAAAATATTATGTTTCTTTGAGCGATATAAAGCTTGACGTGTTTGATGCTGGTTAGTTTGCCTGTTGTTTTCGTTTTTTATACCTTATCCTCGTTTGAGAACGTGACATTACTTATTCGGATTGATCAAAGTTTACATGACAGGTGTCGTCGATGAAGCATAAGACGCTTACTCTTTTGGAACACCTGGTCTTATTATCTTATCCGTGTAATTTTTCAGGAGTCTCCCGGTAAATAATGATAACCCTTTATATCAAATGGTAAAAAAACATCCTCCTTGATGGCAAATAGTTACAGAATATAACGTTCTACTCTTATGTAAGTGTATTGTTGGTGTCTAGTAAAAAGGCTACCGACAATAGTAATACTTAAACAATCTACCTTTTGTCTTTTTCGTTTTCTTGCTATATTTTTTTATTTTTTCTAATTTTGTTTTTCTATTTTTGTTAATTTTGTTGTTGTTTTTTTTATAGATATATAGATATTTCTTGATAATGCAGCACAATTATAACTCTGATTTGTGGACATTTTTCTCTCCTTCATATTTCTCTGTTAGTTAAAATTTTTAAAAGAAGGAATATTTTCATGAATGTTTTAACATGCGATTAGGTTTGATAAGTTTAACGCCTATCAGTGTACTAGTTTAAGTCTTTTAAACGTTTAGAAATTACCTGTCAATGGCGATGACGAGAAGTGTGAGAATACTAGACACTATTGTAATCCCTTGGATGTATGTGGTGAACTTGCACAGGAACTCTCCAGTCTTGCCACCCGTTAACCACTCGTTCATGACGATGAAGTGGAGATGAAAGGGCATGTTAAGGCTGGCTATCATCAGATCACTGACCGCTAAAGACAGGATAAACACGTCAGTCACTGAACGGGTCTTTTTAAGGCAGCCGATTATGATAATAACCGGCACATTCCCCAGCAAAGCTAGTAATATAATAAGCAGGTACAGGACGAGGAATGTGATGATGACAGGTTTTGGTAACGGTTCCGGTAACAGGCTGTCTTCCGGTATTACAAACGAAGAGAAGTTAAAAAATGGAAAAGTTGTATTTCCGCCGTGTGTGCTGTTCATGGAAAGTGCTGATAGAGTCATGCTTCGTGATGTTCCAGGCTTCGCTTGACCGTATAGGGTAATATAGATCCTTTCCAAAGTGACGTAAAAGCCTTCTTTACAAATAAATATGAAACTGTTTTTTCCCAAAGCTAAAGTCCCCTATATAGGACTGGCAGTCCACACACCTAGACACATCAGTGACGATTTGATACAGAAACCGCCGTTATTCCACTGTACATTACAGACTTAATTAGTTATCTGTTTTGAACAACACGTCTAAATCAGATTAATGTTCCAGAAATAGGTGATTTATTACTACTAATACCTTGTGTGGTTATGGCGATAGTGTAACGTTCCTATCTTTACACGGAAAACGAATTTTTCATAACTTTCATCAACATTATTCGGAAACGACTTTGTCGCTACGATACATTTCTTTTAATTGAACGTGAAGGAAATGTTGCAGAAGAATAAGTATACCAATTCATGAGAGTTATTGACGAGGGAAACCTAATCACACCTGCTGGTAGTGAGGTGGCCATCTGTCCACTACAGTTGAGATGGATTTCATATATCTATAAAGATTAATAACACTTCATTCGACGACAACAACACACAGCTAACGTACGTCATTATCTGGATATAAGGCCACTCCAACTGGTGAATTATAGTGTAAGGAGATATTGGCACGAGCACTCAAACATCGCGTAGGGATTATATCGTACACACTGACCCTGGCCTAGCAATAAATAACACGAGCAATAAATAACAATAAAATGATGTGTGGTTCTCCAAGTCGTTGTGACATCGGTCAGTTACTATGTAATTCCGTTCACCAATTAATCACGAAAACCTGTTTTGATAAAATAATGAACAACTTCACTTTTAATCTATGATATAACAAAATAACGCTCTAGTACACGTGCTAACCAATCCTAACTAGGATTTTGTTAACTTTCATTTAAGGACCACTCCCTCTTTCTTGGACAAGGCTGTTAAGTTTTGTTTATAGGAAAGCATATATATCGATTTATTGTTGATGTTTCTATGTCTTTTTAGAAGTATACCAGTTTCCTCAACATCTAACATGAACATGTCAAGTAAGAACTTCAATATCAACTTGACAGACGTCGATAGATAGGGAGAAAATGCCTGTTCATAGACCAAAAATAATGGGTTTTTCTTTTCGTCATCATTATCTCACTGAGATCGTTTATATGTCGTTTTGCTATGTTATATCAACTAACAATTTTATAAGATATATATTTTTTATTTAGTACCTCGTTTCCCATTTATATCATGTTGCATTTCACATATTGACCTTGACCTACGTTCATGGAGATGAAGCAGAAGACGCTTAACATTCCGAACACATGGTTTGACTTCCTGTTCCTTTTATATCAAGGGGATCTGTTTTGGTATTGTCTCGTTGTTACTTTGTACACATGTACTTTTATTGATACCATACTAAATGCCAATATTCATTATTGATATTGCGAGAAGAATGATTACGTATAGGACTGACGGAAGAAGGTACTAACACTATAAAGATGATCATAGGTTTCTCATTTGAAGTTAAGGAGTGATGCTTACTGATATATCGAATATTATCATGTGTATTTACATGCGAGGGCTGATTGATAAATTGTATGCATAGTATTGAAGTTCAGCAGGGATTTCGTTTTTCAGCTCTACTATTCCCTGACTACTAAAGACTTTGTACCCAGAGACTAGTGTCATTTGTTTATGTCGAAGAGGTAGCACTCTAAAATAAACAAGGCAAGTGCAAAATGGACAACATTTTGAAAAGACTAATATTTGGTAGCAACACTAGTGAATGATGCATGCCACTTCATATGCTACAGTAATAGGTAGATGGGTGAATTAAGGCGTGTCAGGCAGAGCCTTGGGGATGACGCCTGTCCTGGAAGGCTTGTCATAGATATATAGCAAGTGCAGTTGGGATTCCACTGGAAAGAGCACATTCCGTTCTGACGGAAGATCTTGCAATGGGGAAGATCTCCGCCGATGGGTACCAAGACTTTTGACAGTTGATCAGAAGTACACCAGACAGACTTTGTCACGCGCTAAACTTAACCTTTCAGAAGCAGATCTTACTAACTTTCTGCGGAGGTTTGGGACGTTTTTGGTTTGGATGAAACGTGGAACCATAATTTTACCAACGATCCAAAAAATGGAAACACACAAGAAAGCGGAGACTGTTCCATCAGCTGGAAATGTTATGGCCTCAGGTTTCTAGAATGCTGATGATGTTCTGATAGTAGATCATCATTTGCAAACGGGACAAACAATTAATGGCATATTCTGTGCATCACTTCTTAGGCAGTTAAGAAGAGAAATATTAAACTCAAGGGTCATGGAAAACTCAGTAAAAGTGTGTTGTTCCACCAGGACAGTGCCCCTGTTCACAAGTCTGCCATTGCCATCGCTGGCATTAACAATTGTGGCTTGGAATCGATTGAGCTTCAGACTTATTCGCCTGATCTCGCTCTATCAAACTTTCATCTATTTCCAAATTTGAAAAAGGCCATTTCCGGTTCCCACTATTGGTCAGATGATGACGTGATAAGTGCAGTGGGAGACTTTCGGAACGGTTAAGAAAATGTCTTATTTAAAAGTGACATTGGGGCCCTTAAACATTGCTGGCAAAAATGTATTGATACTGAATGGGATTATGTTGAAAAATAATGCAATATGTCCGCCAAAAATCAAACCCTTAAATATAGGGCTCACAACTTCTCAATAAGCCCTCGTATGTTAACCTAAAATATGAACATGCATCGTTGGCGTGTGCATAATCATTCATAATTGATCTTAAAACATGTATGACTAATAAAATACACATGAATAAACACATCTTATTTTATTGTACATTGATGTGAATCAATCATCTTTCATGTATATAAAATTGATAACAGTTCAAGTGTATTAATCTTCATGCAATATGTCATATCAATGTACTTAATTGATCACCCCAACGTTAATGCGTTGGTTTACATTAACTGGGTAGCATTGCTTTGTCCTATGTAATCACCGTAATGTATCATTATGATATATACCACACAAAACAGAAACGTAAGCTGTTGATTCAATCTACTGTAAACGCGATGGGGCAATTGTTCAAAAGTTACAACATCTTTGTGGGCGTAATTGAAATCAATAGGTAAATTGATATCGCAGAACAGCAATAATGCATGAATTGATTAGTATAGAGTTGACTTAAACAGAAACTTCACATATTTGGTTTGAGATACAGAGGGGTTCTATATTGATAAATAATTCAGTCAGAGTTTGTGTTAAAAAATTCTAAATATGGTCAGGAAAGATATATTACAAGGCCTAAATCCTATCTTAAATTTGGAATCACAGTACATTAGAAACATTTAGTATTAACACAGTATTTTTATTTACAATGTCAAGGTCAGAAATAGAACTACTTAGCAAAATGTACACGTAACATATACTGGTGAGAAATCCGGCGTAGTAGCTATAAGACAGGAAATATCCACAGGCACACAAACGAGCATCATCCATGTACAATTTTACATTTCACGAAGAAATAATTTTTTTCTCAATGATATCATGATGGCAACCGCAAAATTTCCTCATAATTTCCGTCAACCTGCACTTGATTGATATAAAACATTTTTGTTATTTTTAATTACCATCTTACATATAATATGTAATTGTAATTGTAAATGTAATTAATGTAATATATGTGTCTTGATAAAGTGACAGATTGCCTCGAAAAGTTGACAATTAATTGTCCGTACTGTCGTTATTACTTCATTGATCAAATATATTAGTGCGTACTGTCATCATCTTGTAATTGTAATATATAAATGAGTTAATTGTATTACTTATCGTGAAAGATGTATCAAATATTTCCAAAAGAAAGATAATGGGAATGATAAACTTGATCTATAGAACTTGAAGGGGATGCTAAAACATTGTGAGCCTCGAATAGAAAGTGCAAGCTGATATCTGCATGTACGCCGCTTTATTTTGCAATATAGTCCCTTTAAAAGCTTACACAAGTGTTCAATCTAGTTCGCCAGTCACTGATACCAGAAAGGTAGAACTTAACAAATTGGTCCCCTAACCAGCCCTTCAATGCTGCACCCAGCTCATTATTAACCTGAAAAATCTCAGGCCACCGAAATGTTTGTGTTTTTTATGACAAAGAGGCGGTAGTTGCTTGGTGGCATGTCGGAACAAAACAGTAAACAAGGAAGAAATTTCATAACCACACTCGTACACTTTTCCCATCGCAATAAGGGTCCTGGTGAAACAGGATCCCTTAACGGTTTTTTTTTCTCCTTGATTTGAAATTCTTGGACTTTCGGGGTGTGGTGTGTTTCCAATACAGTCATTCCTGTTAACTCTCTTGATCATAATCATAAACTTGTTATATCACAGCAAGGCTACTCAATGATGGTGACCCTTCAATGCTTCATGTCATCTAAGGATCCATCCTCCACATACCTTGGAATATGTAGTTTGTTACATAGATGAAGCTTGCCGTGTATGGATTCATATGTATTACAGGTACCAATGGTTCACCAGCAGTGTCTACCTTCGTCCGTCGCAAAAGTAGTCTCCGATAATGGACCGCTGTTTCATTGAATGTGTGTATAAAAATTAGAGAAATAAAGAAATAAAATTCAACTTTTGATAAAGACTGTAAATGTGAAAAAAAAAATAAATAAAGTAAATGTATTGGTTGTGATATTGTTGCTTTTATTTTTATGAAACATACACTAACTTACAAAATCCAACAACGAACCCATTAACGACACACCACATCCTTTCCCTCATATACTTACACATTTACAGACAGACATCCAATGTTATAGAATGTCTATTTCAATGTTAATCATCACTCCATGGCTAAGAATAGGACCATTTCCTTCTGACAA